CCCCAAAACCCCAAAACCCCAAAACCCCAAAGAGCTTGAATTTAAAGGAAAGAGGAGAGAATATAATAATAAAGATGTTTAGAAGAGAGATTAAAAAATAATTCAACGAGAACAAATACAATATTTTGACTCAGAAGGGTAACAATAATAGGTGATTACATAATTTTAGGTCCTGCACAAGTCTCTCATCTCAAAAAGTACCCCTTCCAGAAGCATGTCATTGGTTCCATAGCAATGATGATCATTGGATTCAACTTTACCAAGAGATATTTCACCTTCCCTCATCATCACAGTGATCCAACTCAACCTAAGCTTCTTCCTAATGGAGAACTACATCCATTCGACTATCAGCCACCCGTAAGTTTCATGATAGATTTTTAATTCATTATCTATAGAATGCTAAGGACAAGCACAAGCCATACATTCTTCATCAAGTTTGATTGCGGTCTCTATGTGTTATCTAAATCATAGACATACTAATTTTCAAGTAGAACTATGATTTAGACATTATTTAATTTCCATTAACAAATTAATGTAAAATAATATATGCTTGAGTATAATTTGCTATAATTCTAATTATAAATAAATGAACCAAAGAACTAAACTCATTTCACTTGCCATTGGAGTATTTCTACTTAATCCGAGTCATTAAAAGCAGCAGAACTCTCAGTTCTGCCAGTTTAACTCAGATTGCACATCTGGTTGCTGCTATTCTCAGATGTGCTAGGATTACAATACTTGCTCAATTATGGATTAAATCAAATCATTTGAGAATAAAAACTATTGCAAGCTTGATATGGACTGTGATGGTGGCACTACTTAGTGCTGTTTCGATTAAAAATGTGTAGCTTCAGATGTATGCCTGTAGCATTACTATCTGCCATTGATCCTCGGTCTCGTATTTTCGATCATTATTGGATTCATAGTCTCTAAATTAATTGATAAATGCTTAAAGTAGCAAGCCAAGAGAATAAAAAAGGAATTGAGGTAAAAACAAAGAAAAGCAAATAGAAAACGATAGAGGAAGGAAATGCAATAATTACTAGGCAAGGAAGGCTATGAATAGTATAAATAATAAAAGAAATTGGAAAAATCACAAAGGGATAAAGACAGTGATGATGAAGATGAGGATCATCAAATTAAAGTAGATGGCTAGTAGTTTATTTTGCCAGATGAAAGCTAGAATCCTTTAAAAAGACCAAATAACAAGGATGATGACTTTGATCTGAATGCTTTCTTAGAGGAACCAAAGAAAAAACCTCCTTAGTAATAGATACCACAATAATAGCCTAATCCTTAGTAACAGTAGCAACCATAGTTGTCAAGATAATAATAGTAATAGATGCTATAAATGCAAATAATGTAACAGTAATATCAGCTACAGTAAGCTTAAAAGATGCAATAGATGCAATAATAACAATAGTAATAATAGCAGCAGCCGATGCCTTTCTAAGATAAGCTTAAACCACAATAAGTCCCAGGAAGTTAATCAGCTTAGAATAGACCTCAGAATAGTCTGAATGCTTCTAGACTCAACAACGGTCCTTAATTTTTTGGCAAATAAAATCCTAACTAAGGAATTGTTTAGGCTTAAAATCCCATATATCCAGACTACAAACCAAATGTGCCTAATCCAGCTAAGATGGAGTAAAACATTATAAGAAATCCACCAGTTAATAATGATATGAACGAAAGAAGACAAATGATCTAATAAAACAAAGGTGCCTTAAGCAAGCATCTGTCCTAAATGCCGAAAGAGCAGTGATCTCACCAGATATTTCACCGATTTACTCTCATTGAAATAATAGTTATGTAATTTAATTTCACTCTATATATAGATAAGTAGTTAATAGTTTATTATGAGTTAAAATTTTCATTCTAAAGTCAATTAAAGTTAACTAAATTAGTCTCAAACAACTTTCACTTAAATGAATTAAGTTGGTTTTGGGTGGATTATCCACTCGTGAGGTATCTTTTATAAGTCTCAGCAGTTTTCTTTGAGAATTAGCTAAAGTCTATGGCTGATATTTGAGCCTCTTGTTTTCTATTTTTCGAGTTATTTTAGATGATTTGATGTTGCTGTACACTAGCTTTATGACTTTTGAGACTCTTTAGATCATCTTTAGGATCATTCTTCGTCTTTTTCATATAACTCTGATAACTACTCATATGAGCCAGCATCTCATTTATTTTTTACTTGTCTTTAGCATTTTTGGTACTTTGAGGATGATTTAGTTATTTGATGGAAAATTAGTTAGTTGGTGATGAGACGATTGAGGATACACCTCCATTCATATTGCTATTACTGATGGCATTGTTGAAGTTTTTGGTAATTTGAGATATCTTCTCTAAAGACTTATTAATCTTCAGGACTGTCCTTGTAGCTGACTCAGGTTTGCTATTTTCATCAGTTCTTTTGACACTGGGGTTTAAGAAATCTTGAGCCAGTGCCGCACTTTTTCCTTTTGATATGCCACTCTGATTTCTTCCAACATTTGAGTGCTTTTTATCACCAACTTTATGATTACCTGAGTAGAATTTATTAACATCGCTTGCCTAGTGAGACGACTTCTGGTTCTTATAAAGCTACCTCTTTCTATCCAAAGATGCTAAATCTTAGTCATATTATTGCTGAAGTAAACTAGTTTTAATTTTTTGTCTGTCTATAGACTTAGCTTGACTCTTTTCTCTGTCCTTTGAGTGGCTGTCCATATCATTTTTGCCAAATTTAAATTATCCAGATGGAACATGCCTGGTTGACTAAGGTTGAGATATAAAGTCAGATTATATTGAAGTTTGATGATGTTGATTGTGATTATTCTTTCTCGAACTATTTTAGGCTGTTTATAAGGTCATATTATTCTTTTGGATTTTAAGATTCTTTGCACTTGAATTATGACTCAAGAATCCCTTGCTTAATTTAGAGGGTGGCTTTCCTAAATTATGAGCATTGTTGACATATTGATTTATACCTGTGGCTAAAGAGAAATTTGAGTTTATTGAAGTCTAAGGCCTTGAAGTGTTATTATTTGAGAATCCTTGATCATACTTAGAAGTAAAAATCTATGGTGAAATAGATATTTCATCTTATTCAACAGCATAATTTTGATTGCCATTATTATTGTTAATACCATCACTTCCAAGGCTATCTTTGCAAATGCCTTTTTACAAATCGCCTGAAGACATCAAGAAGGATTAAACGCTATTGATGGTGTGAGAAGATTTGAAAAGATTCTAGCTTTGATTTCTTCCGAGTGTTCTGGATGTTTTACCTCTCTAAGAATTTGATCCATCTAAGCCAATAACAGAATGATGAGTCATTTGTTACACACTTTGCTTTGACTTTTTAAAATTTTCTATTGATTACTATACTAATGTCTTAGGATTATAATCATGATGTTCTTTGGAGATAGATTACTGTAGAGGGTGCTAACCAGTTTGGAATGTCTAATTTGCATGTTACATCGTAAATGTTTGAGAGTTTAGCTTAAAATGATTAGTTTGAGATGATGGCTATTAGTTGCTATGTAGCTATAATAAGGTTTGTTTTGGAGAAACTTAAGGAGAATGTTCACAAAGATCATTCTAATCATAATGAGGCACATAGTTGTAGGGTTATTGCCCTTCCTTCGAATTTCTAGCCATCTTTTGATTAATTTATTAGGAGTAATTTTATTGAGGTTTAGGAGCACCAATAGTACTTGAATTGCTATTCATTCTCGTATGGCATCCTGTTTCTTAAGCAGAGTATTATTATTATAGTTACTATTATTACTACAATTGGATGTTATCTGGAAGTTATTTAGCAACGAGATAAGATAATTTGTTCATTTATTTGGGTTTATTTTCAATAGATGAGTTGCTGCTAATAGAGTGGAAATTTGGGTTCTGATGCTTATACAGTATACTCTTATAAGCTTGCTTGTTTAATGATAGATTACTTTGATGTTTAATCTTTGAGGGATTGCTATTAAGAGTAAGATTTCCATGAGATGATTGATGAGTTAGACTATTGATGGATGAGTTAATTCCTACAATGTTAGCAGAACTTGTGATGGATTGATTATACAGATGCCTATTAATATTTCCAATACTTTGAGGAGAGTTAATTTAAGTTTAGTAGCTCTTAGTATGACCCTTAGCACCAAGTCCTTACAATTGAGGTCTATTATCATCAGTTTTATAGCAGCATTTCTAAAAATCATTATTTTCTATATTGTCTGAGCCAATTTTTTTGTGCTTCAGTTTGCTTATTTCATCAGGAGACATGTATTTTTTTAGATTATCTTATTGTATTTAGCTGTTATGATTGGGTTTGAGTGAATAATTTTATTGCTCTTGATGGAGTACCTAACAGGAATTTTGTGAACTTTGATTCTTCGGCTTTTCTTTTAGAACTGTTGCAAAATCATCTTCTTATGGCTAAGCATCTTGGCTATACTTATTCATTCCGTTAGAATCTTTTTATGAACCCTCTTAACTCATAATCTAGAATTAGTTGAATATATTTAGAATTATCTTGCAAGATTGATCATTGTTTTATTGTGGACCCGGGACGTTTGAATTTATTTTTGGAATAAGTTATGTAGTTGGCAACTATGGACTGTAGGAACTTTGAATAGGCTACTTTTAAGAATTTTAAGGTTTGATAACTAATTATTGTTGTTGCAATTGAGTTTGAAGTGGCTAGATATTTTCCTTCTTTTTAAGTTCCTTTTTCTTTTTAGGATTCGGCTTTATGCCAAAGCAATTCAAAAATAGATCTATAAATAAAGTTGAAAATTTGCATAAATTAAAAAAATAATATTTACCATCAATCCTAGAATCATCTATTCCATCTTCAAGTTACTCAACCTATATTGCACCAAAATACTAGCTGGGTCTAAAATCTTTTTCTTCTTATATTCTCTACTACTTTTTGCAATACCGTTCTATTTCTCCTTTATCATTCCAATCTAGATTAGTGCTTAGACTATCTCTACTTTATTCGGCATCTTAATCCGGGAAATCATTATTTTCTTCTAAACTGTCTGAATCGTTATCATCAACTTCTGGAGTCTCTTGCTATGTATTATCGCCAAGACTGAGGTTATTCTTTTTGAGATACTCATTGATGAATTTTTATATTATCTCTTCTATTTGTTTATCTGAATAATGTTGGTACTTCGCTTTTAAATGCTATTTTAAAAGCATGATCTCATCTTATTTTTCCTAGACGCATAATTCCGGAGAATTTTTTTATGACCCTAGTTCAAAAGCTAGTTTTGATTGCTGCTTTGGCACTAATAGAAATTATGAACTAAATATTTACGATTATGATATGTATATGGAGATTGATTAGAATTAACGATATGCTGGTTAACAGGAGTTTTGAAATCATTGATGACTTGCGATTATGGACTCACTTCACTCGCATATTTTTTAATCAAGTGAGGCTCAGGGGATTGTGCCATCTGATTGGGATAGGGATAATTGAGTGAATCACTAACTTATGCAGATGTCTGCAGGGGGTAGTCTTGACAATTAGACATCTTTTAATTAGGGTAGGGTTTGCTAGTCTGTTGATGATCTTTGTTTTCAAAATTAAACATAATTGTTAGAGATATGAAACTTTAAAATTTAACTACTAAATATAAATTTGATTGAAAGATTTAAATTTTGAACAAAGCTTTTATCCATTATTTCAATGTCTCGGGGTTTTGGGGTTTTGGGGTTTTGGGGTTTTGGGG